GTACAATATACAATTTCCTTATATTTTTAAATAAATGTAAGAAAATATGCCACATTTTCAAATACATTACATCTATTCGATTTGCATCTATAATATGGATAATAAATTTAGAAGCATTGTGTGGTAAATGTAATAATATGATTCCTGCAACACATAGTATAATGTCAGCGGGCTGGATACATAATCAGAATATATATAATGTTCTGAGGTCCAATGACGAGTTGAGATAGAACAGTTTTTTTTTATTAGAGGATTATATAGATATTTTGGGCGTACATAGTTATTAATAAAGGTAATAGTGCCATGATAAGGTTTCGCACCAGGAAATTTGGTAAACTTATTTCTGTCTTATTTTAGATATAAAATTTCTTCTATATGGCCATTAATATAGACGATATTCATGTTCAGCAACAGTAACAGCTCATCGCAACAATCCTGATGTTTTAGATTAAATAACATTTTGTGATCATCACAAAAATTTTCCGAATAGCAACTCTTGCAGGATCTTATGTTTACTTGTCGGTGACATACATAACACGATTTTGCACATATTACCATCTCTGTTTCGTACCGATATATACAACGTGATAGAGTAGGCAGTATTTGTCGTAAAATTTCCTTTCGCGATTCCATCCATTCTTCCGAACTATCATACGTGACGCAAAGCGATTTTTCTGTTATTACACTTGCTACAGCTCCACAAATCTCCAAATGCGAGTCTTTATGTATGGTCATATGCGCCTTGCAACAGTAAGAAATCATATACTGATTACACGTTATTAAGTTTCTGCTGGGCCGTTTGCAAACATGACAAACGTTTGGGTTGAAAAACTGATTATATTTGTCTTCTGTGTATGGTCTATTAAAAATTATTATTCCGTATAAACTGATCGCCATATATATTAGTAATTATCATTTATGAGTATTTTGTTTGTAATATTTACTTCAAAATAAGACGCGAAACTCGACAACTCATGAAGTGTAACAGAAATATTTATACGGTTTATATATAGATATTTAATCAGTAATAGTACACAGGACAGTAATAGCGGATAGAAATATGTTTATACCAAAACAGTTGTTGACAAGATAAATTTTAACTATCGATAAAATGAACTAGAAATATTCATTAGTGGAAGGTAATACAGCAAATATGATACATTTCATATGAAAATCTACTTAGAAAGGATTAAAATATATTACAAAGTTTACCAAGACAGATACTTTAGTAAATTTATTGTAATTTCGAACAAAACTTTAAATATTTTAGTAATATCTTATAAAGATCACTTGATGAACACTTTGTAAACTAATCCGTTAACGAAATATTTTTTTATCTGAAGCGATACCCATCCATGTTCTGACTGCAATAAGCGTTCTTTAGCTTTGAGGATTGAGCGGCACGCTGTGATTCTAATGGCTCTAACGATGTTCTTATATAATGTATCTCTCTCTCTCTCTCTCTCTCTCTCTCTCTCTCTCTCTCTCTTTCTCTGTCTATAGTATTCACAAAATATTATAATACATTTTTGAGTAAAATTGAAATGACGGAACAACATTAAATATGCGACAAATGTTACTATAAAGAATATTAGTGTGCTAGTGCTTAATCAGTAAAGAATGTTTTTTAAATGTTTCTTAAATGTTTATTTTACATTGATATTACATTGCGCATGTTATTATTTTAATTATCTTTATTTAATGTTGATTAAATGTTTATATTATATTATATATATTACATTACTTATATTAAATTACTTGTGCATTAAAAGTAATAATTTCAAAAAAATATTAATGCAACGTTTATTTAACATTGAAACTATTTATTTATTATAATATTATTTTATATTGAATATTTATTTTATATTGCAACATTATATTTAAAATAATGATTTAGAAAAATATTTATATAACGTTTATTTAACGTTTATTTAACGTATATTTAACATTTAGATTACATTAATTCTTTATTTAAAACAATATTTACTTTATAAAAAACTAAACAAACATTTATTTAATATTTGTTAAACTTTTACATTACATTAATAATTCCTTTAAAATAATGGTAAGCCTTCGGAAAAGCTGCGTGATTTAAAAAATAAAAGAAGGAGTGATGCCGTTATAGATATAATGATCTTTCTTGATATTTTCGTTATTAGCTGGCGTATTTTTTGGATAACTTATAGAATCATTAGTTTAGCAACCTGTCGTTACGCAATGATACTACCTAGGTAGCATAAAGATGAATAGAAGTTTATAGAGAATTTATTTTAAAGCACACCTAAAAAATTAGAAACATGAATATCTGAAGAATTCCTGAAGAATTACTCGAATCTATAATTCATTCTAAAGTATTCCTCGGAAGTTCATTCATGAATGAATACTTCACGAATTACTTATTCTGAGAATTTGCGTGACAAGTTACTATTATTAGCTAATTTCATATATTATACATTTGATGGTTATATATGGTTAATTATATATAAAAAGCTTGTATAGCCATTAGAATCACAGCGTGCCGCTCAATCGTCAAAGCTATATAACGGGAAGAATTAAATAATTGAAGTGAGTTTTCAGTTTTGTCTTGTCTCAAAGTAAACTCAAAAGTATATTTGCAAGTTACTTAAACCTCGCAGTAAATAAATAACTCAAAAATTTACTGCGCCCGCGCGTTCAATAAATTTAAATAAACTTATTAAAGTTTATGTGTATAATTGTTATCATACTAGTTCAGTTGAGAAGAACAGATCAATTGGGTCCTTTTTTCAGAGCTGTACGCTCATTGAATATGAAAGCCCTTCACATCAAACGTAGGATACAGGGCACACTTGCACGCGACATGCAATGAGCATACTGCTATTATAATAAAGTTATATCTAGAATTATATAAATTAATATACCAACTTATTATACATATGGAATTTATTTATTCTGTGCAATCAATTTCTGGTTGTACCTGTTTCTTCTTGTATTTTATCTACATTTTCTTGCGCTGTATATTCCTTTTAAAATCGATTTTAATCTTGAGTGTTTCTTCTTAATATTATACATTTTGCAATGTTAATATTTATAATTTTTCGTATCGAGAAACGAAAAACGTTCGAGTCTTCGTGCACAACGAAACAATATGAACATCGGTGACATTGCATAGTGGAGGGTCCTTATAGGATGGCGCTATGCATGTCAATTTTGACGCGCTGAACGTTGGGAGTTTTCGACATGACTGGGACAACTATATATGTTATCATCGAGAACGAGAAACGTAATGTAATAATGAGTAAATCAAAAGAAGATTTGTTTCAATTTTGCAAACAAATTGTGTTTTATTATGCTTATTATACTCTGTGGAAGAAGATAATTTATCGCGTAATCAGTAAATAGGATTCGCATCTTTACACAACAATATATATAAAATTATATAGTATATACATAGTCACAATATATATCAAAATGTTCCCGGTAAATTACATGTATTCGACGTTTTCTACTGAAAATCGAGACATTTTGATTGTCCTAATATAATAGAGAAAAGGTTAAATATTAAAATAATGTTACCCGAATATTCGTTGATTATTTTAGATGATAAAAGGATATACAGGGTGTCCAAGATTTGTCTCCGCAAAGTTCGTGGGAACGTAGATCGATTTGAGATGAATATAAAATTTCCTTAATGTTTTGCGATATTTAAAATAAATTTCGAGATACTAATTATAGAAAATTGAGGAATAATTACGCGCAATAGGCAGATGGGTTATAGTAAAGATGCTATCGTATGTTTGTATATTAAATCAAACTGAACAAAAAAGTTTTTCATTATTTTGCAAAGAACCACCTAAAATTTTAATTATTAACAAAAAAAATCCTTATATGTTTGTGTGCGATAATGCACAAATGACCTTTAATTAATGTCTAAAAATCCATGTGGTCATTTGCAAAATGATAGAGGACTTTTATGTTCAGGTTGACTTAACGTATAAAATATAAAACGACAGACTACAACTTATTTAACATATCGAGTATGATTACTTACTTTTTTAATTAATATTTCCATATTTATTGCGAATATCGCAAAACGGTATAGGACTTTTATGTTTTCATACCTCAGTGTGTTCTATGTTCCCATGAATTTTATGAGTATCAATCTGTGACATTCTGTATGTTGAAACGTGCGACGCGTGTGCTCAATTTTCTTTCGGTTCTTGCAAGAATTTCTTTCGATTCAATGAATTTTATTAAATTCAAGGAAGTTTATCTATTGGAATAGTCCAAATAAACTAATTTATAATTAGACCAATACTATTGTTTGATATTACAAACAATTATATGATCTAAGGAAGAAGATTGTTTTATATAATTTTAACGGTTTGGCTAAAACGGTTTGGTAACTCTGTTCAAATAATTTTAAGAAACTTGACTTTCTTTTTTCCTGTTATTGATGATCTGACATTGTTATTAAATCACAGTATGTATCCTCCTCAATCCGTGATATTTTATATAAATATTCCATCATTCGATGATAGTTTCTACAAATATTCTATCATTCGGTAATCGGTACAAATACGCATCCTTCTTACTAATCACGGTCTAGATTATTTGACTTTAACAATCATGTAGAAATTAGTGATGGCAATTAGCTCCAATTGGTTGGCAGTTGCACTGAGAAATATACTTGAAAATATATTTGTGGGATACAAAATTTCTGTAAAATAAAATTTATTTCTATACATTTATCCCCCACATTTTATCTCCCATAAATAAATATTAAAATATATTTTTTCTCAGTGTGACTAGTTGTAGCATTTTGCTTATAACGTACCCTTATAATGTGACCAGAAAGCCTTTCTATGCTATATTTACTGTTAATCGTGGAAAATAATGCAACAATAGGGGCGATATATAACGGATATTATTATACAATCGTATATATACTTCTTTTTAATACAATATAAAATACACTTTTACAAAATCAGGAAAGAAAAATATAATACATATTCACTAACAAATATATACTATTAAAAGATTTTATTGTCGATTAAAATTACACTTGAATTTAATTTACAATTACAGATGATAATTTGAGAGACTCTAATAGTTCTAGGTTTGTTTTCATTTTTACAATATATTTTGACAATTTAAATTGAAAAAGTCGATGTTAGCAAGTTATAAATATTGATTACAAAGTACAGTTTAAAAAATATAATCTACATAAAACTTAATGAAATTATTATCATCACTTATCACTTGCAGAACACGAACAATGAAGTAGCGATTAACAAGAGAGTTACATACAACTCAGTATACAATAATCATAGCTCTATATAATACTGCCTATAATTATAGCATAACATGCGACAAATTGTAAAATTTAAATATACTATATATATACGGCCAGCATTCTGTTACCTCATATAAAACATATTTTACATATTTTGAAAAGATGAGAAACTATATACTAATAAACTATATACTGACAAATTATTAAATTATATTTTAACAAAAATATTATTAATTTATGACTGAATGTAGGCCTCACATAGTAAGGAATTTCTAATTTATTTTCGAATATTATTAAAAATTGAATATCAACTATACCAAAATAAAAATAGGATCAAATAATACATAACCTTCAGCCGTTGACTGGGTCATGTGATTTAAATTCAAGAATACATAATAAAATGCGCGTTTCGGTAATAAAATCCACCAGTTATATAATTTCTATGTGGAATATAACCGCGGAATTTATTTTCTCTATGTAATCGATTTCTAGTCGTACCTGTTTCTTCTTGTATTTTGTCTACATTTTCTTGCACCGTATTTTCCGAATCAGCGGTTAAAAGTAATGGACATTCTTGCGCTATTATTTCTTTTATAGATTCAAACCATGAATACGAAATACATTCTGTTTCAAATAGTACGATCACATTCGGTTTTTCATATGAATCTAAGCGTACATAATCGTGATACGGTTCTGATACGCTTTTAACATAAAGTTTCTGATTATAGCGACCGCATGCAGAACACACAGACCCTAGAGCGCTCGATTCAAATATCGGCGAGTTTATAAATACAATATGCAGTTCCTTAATTTTTTTTAAGAAATGTAAGAAAATATGCCACATTTTCAAACATATTATATCTATTTTGTTTACATCCATAACATGAATGATATATTTACGTGCAATGCTTAAAGGAGATATTAAATTTGATTCCTGCAACGCATAATATAATGTCAGCGGGCCGGATGCATAATCAGAATATATACGTTGATCCATTGACCAGTGGATAATTGAGATAGAAGGATCTAATTTTAAGCTACGAAAATATGAATCAGTTATGGGTACATAATTGTTAATAAATGTAATGGTGTCATGATATGGTTTCGCATCAGGAAATTTGACGAACTTACATCTTTCTAGATGTAAAACTGTTTCTATACAGCCGCTTATATAGGTGATATTTATATTCAATAATAGTAACAAATCATCGCAGTACTTCTCATGAAATAGACTAAATAATATTTGGTGATCATTACAAAAATTGGCTGAATAACAAATGTTGCAGGGCCTTATGTTTGCCTGTCGAAAACACACACAACACGATTTTGCGCACATTATCATCTCTGTTTCGTACTGGTATATGCATCGTGACAGACTAGGCAGTATTTGTTGTAAAATTCCTTTGCGTGATTCTATCCATTCTCCCAAACTACTATACCTGAGCCACAACGATTTGTGTGTTATTATCTTTGCTATAATTTTGCAGATCTCTGAGTGTGAGTTTCTGTGTATCGCCTCATGCTCGTTGGAACAGTAAGAAATCATGTAGCACTGATTACACATTACCAACTTTTTGCTGGGCAGTTTGCAAATATGGCAAACGTTTGGATTGAAAAACTGATTATATTTGTTTTCTATGTATGGTCCATCAAAGATAAATACTTTCTGAGAATTCATCGCGATACGTCTTAATAATTATCGTTTTTGAATACTTTGTTTGTAATATTTACTTTAAAATAATGCGCTAAGCTCGACAGTTTACGGAATGTAACAGAAATATGTATATAGGTTACTTATATGGATTTAACCGGTAACAGTACACAGAACATTAATAACAAGGTACAAGTATGTTTGTATATATCGAAAAAGTTGTTGACAGGATAAATTGTAACTGTTGAGGTGACGAACTAGAAATATTCGTTAGTGGAGAGAAACAATATGACAAATATAATACATTACTTATGAACATCTACTTTAAAAAACTCAAAACAAAATACAAAGTTTACCAAGAAAGTTACTTTAGTAAATTTCTTGTAATTTCGAACAAAACTTTAAGTATTTCAGTAATGTATTATAAAGGTCACTTTAAGTTAACTAATCCATTAAAAAAATGTTCTTTAATCCTCCAAATCGATCACCCATCCTTGTTTAGACCATGCTAAACATTCCATAAATTTTTGGGATCGTACGGTATGCGGTGATTCTAATGGTTCTAAGGATGTTCTTAAAGTTAAATAATATATCTTTTTATAGTATATGCACAGAATACTATAAAATTAATAACATAACATTTAGTATTAACGTATTCTGCATATTCCTTGAATATACTTGTGATATACTATCACACGTTCTTAGTACATACTGAAGAAGCGAATATTCGGGATATACGAACGTTCTTAGTATATTCTTAGAGAACGTAGTTCAAAGAACACATAAAACATATCTCGAACATTCGGAAGAAATATACAATCTACTTTTATGATATTCTCCGAATGCTCTCAGAATCAACTTATGCTACTAGGGTACTTTGAAAAGATAATAAAACAAAATAATATTAATTTATAACTGAATATATGCCTCAGTATGAAATTTATAATTTATTCTTGAATATTATTAAAAATTGAGTATTACCAACTGTACCAAAATAAAAATAGGATCAAACAATATATAATGTTCAGCTTTTGACTGGGGCAATCATGTGATTTAATATCATGAATACATAATAAAATGCGCGTTTCGGTAATAAAATCTACCAGTCGTATAATTTCTGTATGGCCTATAACCGCGGAATTTATTTATTCTGTGCAATCGATTTCTGATTGTACCTGTTCTTTCTTGTATCTTATCTACACATTCTTGCAATGTATATTTGGAATTTCATCGCGATACTTCTTAGTAATTATCGTTTATGAGTTCTTTATTTGTTATATTTACTTCAAAATAATGCGCAAAGCTCGACAACTTACGGAGAGTAACAGAAATATTTGTATTGATTATATATAGATATTTAATCAGTAATGGTACACAGGACACACTAATAACGAGTATAAATATGTTTACATCGGAACAGTTGTTGACAAGATAAATTGTAACTGTCGAACTAGAAATATTCGTTAGTGAAAAGATACAATATGACAAACGTGATACATCCCTGAAATTTACTTATATGAAAATCTACTTATATGAATCTACTTATATGAATATAAAAATCTACTTTGAAATACTCAAAATATACTACAAAGTTTACTAAGAAAGATACTTTAGTAAAATTGTTGCAATTTCGAAATTTAAGCAGTTGGTAATACATTATAAAGGTCTTTAATTTAACTAATTCGTTAAAGAAATTTTTTTATCTGAAGTTGCACTTATCCGTGTTCTGACCACGCTAAGCATTACATTTGACAATAAAACGGCACACCTCAGACAACATAATGTCTAAAATCGGGACAGAAGACGTCTTAAAAGTAATCTTTAGGACGCCTTAAAGACATTTATACGTAAATCGTTTGAGAAACAATTTAAAGATGATCTTTAGGACGTCTTATGTTCCAATTTTAGACATTATGTTGACGGTAATTCTAATGTCTCTAATGATGTTCTTATGTAATATATCTTTATAGTATTTACAGAATATTACATTTACTCGTAAATATTGAAACGATAGAACAAGATATTCGACAAATATTGATATAATAAATATTAGTGTGCCAATGAATGCATCACTCCTTTTAGATTTTGAACAAAATGTTATTATGGTTCAGCTAAACATTAAATTACACTTACTGTATAAGATCAAAATATTAATTTCCGGACATGGACCTAATTCTAAATATTCTTATTGTTTTGGTCTTTAAATACGAATATTTAAATTTTCCACATAGAATATATTTATATACTTAATACTTGTACAAATATTTTATGTCGGAAATTTAAATATTTGTGTCTAAAAAATAAAACAAAAAGATTGTCCAAGATTGAGTATATGTCTGGATATTGATACTTTTGCATTACTACGTAAACCTTTCGTTTATTGAACTCGTTTACGTATGATTTTCCTTAGTCTTAGTCAAAATCGTATGGACACTTTAGCATTCGTATGGAATTTCCGAGTTAAATTTTCACCATTAAAACGACCTATGACCATTGTTATACGTTTCGTATGAAAATATATAATAAATCCTTACTTACTAATATGAGATTTTTCCATAGTTTTAAATTGTGTTTGTTGACTCTCCGTATTTAAAGACGTTTGGGGTTGTGATTTAACTAACGATGTTATTACTATATGATTAACTAACAATTTAAATAACGATGTTACTACGTTAGGAAGATTATTTATTTGATCTTGTATTTTCCGGAATTTCTTATCGGAATTCTGTCGTTCCCTGCTATGACACTTCCATCTTAATTTTGAGCGTTTCTTCTTCTTAATATTAAATATTTTGCAATGTTAATATTTATAATTTTTCGTATCGAGAAACGAAGAACGTTCGAGTCTTCGAGCACAACGAAACAATATGAACATCGGTGACGTTGCATAGAGGAGGATACTTATAGGATGGCGCACGTCAATTATGACGCGCTGAACATTATAAGTTTTCGACATGACGGGGACAACTACACACATTATCATCGAGAACGAAACACCTAATGTAATAAGCTAACTAAAAGGGGATTTGCTTCAATTTTGCAGACAAATTGTGTTTTATTATGCTTATTATACTCTGTGGAAGCAGATAATTCATCAAGTAATCACAGTGAATAGGAATCGCATCTTTACGCAACAATATATACGTAATTATATAGTATATACATAGTCACAGTATATATCAAAATGTTCCCGATAAATTACATGTATCCGATGTTTTCTATTGAAAATTGAGACAAATATTTTGATTGTCCTAATATAACAGAGAGCAGGTTAAATATTAAAATAATATTACCCGAAAATTCGTTGATTATTCTAGATGATAAAGAATATACAGGGTATCCAAGATTTGTCTCCGCAACGTTCGTAGGAACGTAGATCGACTTGAGATGAACATAAAAGTACTGTTTTACGATATTTACAATAAATCTCGAGATACTAATTATAGAAGATTGTGGAATGATTAGACGCAATAAACAGATGAGTTGTAGTAAAGACGTATGCTATTGTATATTTGTACATTAAATCAAACTGAACAAAAATTTTGCAAATAACCACCTAAAATTTTAAATATTAATGAAAATATCGTTATATGTTTGCTCAGATAATAGCACAAAATCTTTAGAGAATGTTCTAATGTTAAGTGTTTCGTCGGTATAACTAATGATGTACTAATCTTCTTTGGTTATGGTCTGAAAGTCTATGTGATCACTTGCAAAATGATAGAGGACTTTTATGTTCAATTTCAATTAACCTATAAAGTATAAAACGGCAGACGGCGTCACAAGAACTCATTTAATATATCGAGCATGATTACTCACCAATCTTTTTTAATTAATATTTCCATTATTATTGCGAATATCGCAAGACGCTACAGGACTTTTATGTTCACCGCAGTGTATTCTATGTTCCAGTGAATTTGATGAGTATCAATCTGTGACATCCTGTATGTTGGAATATGCGAAGATACGTGTGCTAAGTTTTCCATCGGTTCTTGCAAAGATTTCTTTGGACATAATGAATTTTATTAAATTGGAGGAAGTTTGTCTGTTGGAATAGTCCAATTAAACTAAATTTTAATTCGACAAATATTATTGTTCGACATTACAAACAATTCAAGATATGATCAAAGGAAGAAGATTGTTTTATTTAATTTTCTTATTTTGCTAAAATTGTTCGGTAACTCTGCTCAAATAATTTTAAGAAACTTTATTTTCTTTTTTCGCATTACTCATAATCTGACAATGTTATTACATCATCGTGTGCGACTTTCTAAATCCGTGATACTTTATATAAATATTCCATCATTCGATGATAATTTCTACAAATATTTTATCATTCGGTGATCGGTACGAATACGCATCCTTCTTACTGATCACGACCTAGATTATTTGACTTTAACAATCGTGTAGAAATTAGTGATGCCAATTAGCTCCAATTAGTTGGCTGCTGCACTGAGAAAAATACTTGAAAATATATTTGTGGGATATAAAATTGCTGTGAAATAAAATTTATTTCTAAACACTTATCCTCCTCCTTGCATTTTAAATCCAATAAATAAATATTAAAATATATTTTTTCTCAATGTGACTAGTTGTAGCATTTTGCTTATTACGTATACTTATAAAATGACCAAAAAGTTTTTCTATGCCACACTTACTATTAATCGTGGAAAATAGTGCAACAATAGAGGGAGATATATAACGGATATTATAATACAATTGTATATAAACTTTATTTCAAATGAGGATTACACATTTACAAAATCGGGAAAGAAGAACATAATACTAATTTACAAATAAATATATATTATTAAAAGATCTATATTGCATTGTTGATTATAATTACACATATATTTAATTTAAAATTACAATTGATAACTTTAGCGACGTTAATAGTTCCAGGTTTGTTTTCATATTTATTAATATATTTTGACAATTAAGTTGAAAAAGTCAATGATAGCGAGTTATGAATATTGATTACAAAATACGGTGTGAAGAATATAATCTACTTAAAACACATTCAAAATTATTATCATTACATACCACTTGCAGAACACGAACAATTAAGTAGGTATTCACAAGACAATTATATAATACACCGTATAAAATAATCATAACTGCATATAATACTGCCTGCAATTATGGCATAGCATGCACAAATTTTAAAACTCAAATATACTACCAGCAATATACTACCAGTATATATACGACCAGCATTCTGTTATCTCATATACAACATATTTTACATATTTGGAAAAGATGAGAAACTATATACTAACACACTATATACTAATAAAATCTATACTGACAAAC